CCAATAATGTGCATGTAGTAGAATTATTTTAGCAAATTGTTGTGTGGCAAAAATATTCTAACACTAGTTTGTTTGAAATTAATATATCTTGTTTTCTGAAAATGAACGATACATACTTGTTCATTTTTTCATTCATTTTTTAGCCCAACAATGACGGAGATGCATCTGTTAATGGATGTTTGTGTGTTTCCACATCTTACTTTGAGAGAAATACATTGGCAAACTTTCAACTGGAGGTAGAAAATGAAGATGCTGTTGATAGGGACATAGGTTTCTGGGTTGGACTTGGCCCTGATGGTTCCTGGGAGAGTGTCCGTTCATTACTTCCACTGTCAGTAGTCCCAAAATCATTATTAAATGACTTTTTCGCTATGGAAGTTGTGATGAAAGGTGGAAAAAAGCATGCAATTTTCAGAGGCTTGGCAACAGTCGTAAATGACTCAGATATCAAATTGGATATATCCATATCTTCTGTTTCTTTGCCTCACGGTTCCGAACACTCTCAACATACAAGTGGTTCTAACACTGTAGTTGAAGAGTTATTTGAAAATCAATGTTTTCAGCCAATTTCTACTGGGGGTAATAGATGGTCTGGCTCTTGTCGTGATGAACCAGCATGGTGGAGCACCAGGGACTTCTCATATTCGTCAAAGGTGAGAAAATTTGCAAACTGATTCTATGTCAATATGATATGTTCTTATATAAATATTCTTCATTTTCCTTCATTTTGAAGGACTTTTTTGAACCTCCTCTTCCTCCTGGGTGGCAATGGGCATCAACATGGACAATTGAAAAGTCCCAACTTGTGGATGATGATGGTTGGGCCTATGGGCCTGACTTCCAGACTCTGAAATGGCCCCCATCCTCTTCCAGATCACATATGAAATCAACCACTGATACTGCACGCCGAAGGCATTGGATTCGCACAAGGCAGCTGGCTACTGCACAAGAAATAAACTGTTTGAAGAGTGGTTACACTTCACTAAGCCCTGGATCGTCTTCTCCGCTGCCATGGGGAAGTACATCCAAGGATTCTAACCAGTATTTAAGTCTTCGTCCTAGTGCCAACTGTCCTCAGCCTCCCTATGAATGGGGTTCTTGTGTTTGTGTTACATCTAGTTTTGCATGTGGAAAAGACCAGCCTGACACAGATCAAAGGTCACTTAATAGACAAAGTACTTTTAGGCAAGAAAGTAAAACGTCTAGTTTTGCTTTAAAGTTGAATCAACTTGAGAAGAAGGATATGTTATTTTATTGTCATCCTAATTCTGGAAGTAAGCAACTTTGGCTTAGTGTTGGAACAGATGCTTCAGTTCTCAATACAGAATTCAATACACCTGTCTATGATTGGAGAATCTCTATTAATTCACCTTTGAAATTGGAAAATCGACTTCCTTGTCAAGCCAAATTTACAGTCTGGGAGAAGACTAAAGAAGGGAGTTTTATTGAGCGAGAACATGGAACAATATCTTCACGAAAGAGTGCACATATATATTCAGCAGATATCCAGAGACCTATATATATCACACTTTTTGTTCATGATGGCTGGGTTCTGGAAAAGGTAATGATTCTAAGTACGTTTGTGTTCTTTGATTTGGACCTTGGTTCCATGCTTACATCTCTAGGACATTATTGCCTGCAGGATCCTATTCTTGTTTTAGATCTTTCTTCCAATGATCATGTTGCATCATTTTGGATGGTTCATCAGCGAAGTAAAAGGTATGTTACATTCAATATGGTAGGACACACACTTCCTTGCAAATGGGTGGTCCTTGGGACTTATCCTCTGGATTCCCTATCTCTTTGTACCAATACATAGAGAACTGATTTTTCTGTTTTAATGGAAGGATATGATTCACATTCTCCACGATAACTTATAATTGTACAACAGCTATAGTGAAGTTTACCAACTTAATGCCATTATCCTTTACACGCATCTGTAATCCACTACAAATACATTAAAGAAATGAAAGAATGTTACATAAGATCCATATTATTTCTTATTTTCTCTGTGATCAATCTTTCTGCATTTGTCTCGCGAAGTAGTTAGGAATAACTAGTAACTTTATGCACAGTAATATATGAGAATTTACCTTAACAGATGCCAACTTAATTTCTCCCATATAATCTGGGTACAAAAAGCTTGCCTTATAGCGTCCATGGTGTTAATATTCATTGTTTTTGCAGGAGATTACGTGTGAGTATTGAACGTGATGTGGGAGGGACTGGTGCTGCACCAAAGACTCTAAGATTTTTTGTTCCATACTGGATTACCAATGATTCACCTTTGCCTCTTGCATATCGAGTGGTGGAAATTGAGCCTTCAGAAAGTACAGATATCGATTCCCTTTTACTCTCTAGAGCTGTCAAATCTGCAAAGACTACAATGAGAAACCCCACATACTCTATGGATCGGAAACAATCTGCCCCAAGGAGAAATCTTCAAGTACTTGAAGTAATTGAGGACACAGGTTCTGCACCTAGCATGCTTTCTCCACAAGAATCTGCAGGGCGCAGAGGAGTTGTGTTGTTCCCCTCTCAAAAAGATTCATATCTTTCCCCTCGCATTGGCATCGCTGTTGCTATTCGCAATTCTGAAATTTTTAGTCCTGGAATTTCACTTCTTGAGCTAGAAAAGAAGGTGATTGACTGAAGGGTCAAGTTTCCTGCAATAATATAGTGGTTTTTCTTTCTCAATTCCTATCTTATCAATAGGCTGAGAGTTATACTTCAGATTCATTCTTCTGAAACTTTTCAAAAGTCGCAGTGCTTATATGAGCTTATATATTTTTTCAGGAACGTGTTGATGTAAAAGCATTCAACTCTGATGGTTCTTATTATAAGCTCTCAGCCGTACTGAACATGACCTCAGATAGAACAAAGGTTGACCACCTTTATCTTTATGCTTTTTGGTTATATTGATGTGGTTCTCGGATGGCTTTGTGTATATTATTATGTAATGTTATCAAATAAACTGCATGATAGTTAATCCACTATTAGAGAATGGGAATATTCTATGTAGCACCCATATTTTTCATTCACTTGAAGGGATATCTTTTTATTTAACTAGAACCTATATCAGTGTTAGGAACAACAGTCCTAGCTTGTCTCCAAAGTCAGACAACATTTCTAGCTTATCTTTCAAGTCTGATACAGCTGATAGCCACTAAAATCTTCTGTACTTGCATGAATCCTTCTTCTAATGTGCTGACTGCTAACATAGGCAGAGTGTTTGTTGGAGCATATTACTAACATCCTGTTTGTTTATTGGTTAGTTATTAATAACCTGTTTGTTTCTCACACTTAGGCCTTCATACAAAGCCCGAAAAGGTATATTTGATTTGCATCCATTAAACAAAGCTTTCTTGTTGCCTGAGATCCTTTGAGATTATTCAATTCTCGATCTTGCATTTCTCTGCTATCTTAATAAACTATGTGAGCCTCATTAGAATGCAGCCATTTATCCATGTGCTAAGCTTGGTAATTTGCTTGCACATAAGAGTTAGAATATAAACAACCAAATTGGGTTCTTTCACAATGGTTTGATGTTGTTTCTATTGAATATTATAGTTCTGTATATACAGATTTTTTCTGACAGAAAATGAAATATATAATTAATTACAATTGATTATAAATGATGTAATTTACCCTTATACCATTTTAACTTAATTTGCCTTTTCTTTAACACTCTCTCTCGAGCTGGGGAGTAAATGTTGTCAATCCTCAACTTACTAAGAAGAACTTGGATTGCTTAAACCTTTAATTAACACATTTATCAGTTGAGAATTGATAGACATGTATGGGATACATATTGGGTCACTGTCAAGTTTTTCTACAATAAAATGTCTATTGGTCTCTATATATTTGGTTCAATCGTATTGCACTGAATTGTGAACAATATGTATGGCCGACTTACTGTCACATAATACTCATAGGATTTTTCTCACTTGATTTTAAGATCTTTCAAAATTCTTTTTTATCCACAATATTTCATATATCCTTTGTTTCATACTCAGAACTCTAATTCTACACCTGATCTTGCAAATACATTTTGTTTCGAATTTTTTCATATGACTAGTTTATATCCAAGAAAGATACGGTATCCTATAATAGATCTTATGTTTACAATTGGCTCTACATAATCTATATCAATATAGGCTTTTAGGAGCAGTTTGTCATTTTTCCATAACATAATTCATTTACTTAGTGACCCTTTTAAGTACTCTGTAGGCTACTTATAGCTGCACTTCTTTCAAAATGTGCATGAATTGGCTTATAACAGTTACTGCAATATCTGGTCTCGTGAGGGATAGATATATCAATCTAGCAACTAATATCTGATACATTCTTTGTTTATTGGCATACATTTTTTACTATTCCTAATTTGTGATTAGAATCAATAAATGTACTAGTTGATCAATAAATGTATTTGTTGGTTTATATTCTATTACAATAATGTCATCAATGTATACTAGAAGAGTTGTAGTTTCTCCTATTTCTGACAGTTTGATAAATCGAGTATGATCTCCTTGAGCCTATTTAAATCTCATATCTATCATCATCTTTGTGAATCTATCAAACCATGCTCTTGGCGATTGTTTGAGTTCATATAATACCTTTTTTCGTTTACTTATTTTATCTGGTCTTGTTTCTTTATCAAGTTTGACGGGATATCCATATAAATTTATTCTTATGAATCTCCATGGAGAAGGTAGTTTTGCATCAATATTATAGTTGTCAATCAAAATGGATTGTAATGATGATAAATTCACAATATTCATGTTGGCTACTGGTG